AACAAGATCGCCTTAACAACTGGAAGTGGGAATCCAATGTTAGTGGTGTTGCTGATATGCATCCATACGTCTCGTGGACAGAGTTTCTTTTTTGACAGTGATTGTGGATCAGAATGGAATTAAATCACTCATCTCCATATTCAGCGTGACGTGTTAAACCACTGCACCACTGAACAGCCAAACGATGAAAGGTGTGTATGGCATCGCATACGTACCCTCTGTCGTCTGAACTTGTGCAGCACACCCTTTCAACACCTGCCAGCTTTTCGCGGAAATTCCGTAACAGCACGTTGGACGCAGTTATACCACGGTTTCTATACGATACTATGACACTGTTCTGTTGTTTCTGCGAAGTTAGCAGATTAAATCCGATTCCCAAAAAAAAAAAAAGATATTAAATAACAGGTCAAAAGTGAAATATGTGAAGAGAGCTATACCACGGTTTCTACACGATCCTTCCTCTCAAAAGCCTCTTAAGATTGTGTCCTTTTATTATGCATTTAAAGAAAAAAAAAAGGAAAAAACTGATGTAAAAAGCTTTACCCGCGATACGATTGCATTGCACTGCACTGATAATGGAGATAAAGTGATAAAAAAGCAACAACAGAATGCATTCTCTGTAACAAAAAAATTATAATCACTGCTCATGAGATTTTCTAAAATGTTTGATACGATATTTCCCGACAGAAAAACAAGCACTGGTAAAACGCCCGTAGATGAACAAGTCGTAAATAAGAGAGTTTAAACGAAGTTGGAAACATATTCAATGCTTCGTGGATCGCATTCTCTTCACTAGTATCCATTTAAATGATTTCATAGAAGGAGCGGTGTTCGTAAAAAAAATGTCTCCGAAGCAAATGAATATGCTTCCGAGAAGCAAAGCAAATACAAATCCATTTTCCTCTTCTCAACTTTTTCCGGAGGGCTACAGCTTTGATAATGATAATGAAACAAGGCACACATTCAAAGTGCATCCAACTTTAAGGTCTATCCTGCTTTTTATAAAAGGCAGAGTTTTTAAAGCGATTTTGTGAAAATTACTCAATATCAGATGTTAGAAGCGAAGCAGCGCCCATATGTCAAGCAAGTCGCAGATATTTTAACTAAATGTAAGGACCTGGCATAGCTACGTCACAAACGTGAGATACCCAAACTGATAGCCTGGATAGTTTTTGGTATTCTTGGCATAAGAAAAGATTAATATGTGACATTCTTCAAATTACTTTTTAGTTAATTTTTATCAGTAATTAGCATTGCGCAACAGCGTAGTTGCATGCTATTGTTTTTGCTGTGGAATACTGAGTTTGTTTACTCGATGAATTAGTTCTGAAGAACATTCAGTCGGTTCAATGCCTGTAAAGCTGCCAGAACCACGGTTTTCGCTGCTTGTTAGTTTTGGCATTAGAGCATATGTAGAGCTGTAGTCAGCGATCAAAAAACAGCGATTTTTGAAAGCTAATTCCGGCCAACTGAACCCGCTTCTTGAGACACATCAAGATAGTGCTCCTGTTGGCATGTGCGAGTAAAATCGTTTGCTCAGTAAAGATCATATCCAGTAGTTTATACCGCACTAGCTGCTGGAGGCCTCAAACAACGCATTTTTAGTAGTTTTCTCAGTGGAACAAGTTATGCGGCAGTACAAATCTGCTGTGGATACGGAAATGAAGGTCAAATCCACGGGGGAATTCCCACAAGATGGAGCAAAAATGAGGAAAAGCAAATGTGCAATTTTTATCGGACATTGAAAACTTTAGTGTTCTGCAAGCTCCTTAAATTGATA